ACATTAGCATGATCCTCTGCCTGATATATGCTCTTCTCTAACAGAACCCGGGGCAAATTCTATAAAATATTAGATACTAGACGACAAAACTGTGGGAATCCCTGTGTCAAGTAATAGAGGTTCAAGCTAAACCAGTCCGCAGGATTTGTCTCGTCCGTCACTCAAACTCCGAACACTACGGTGATCCGCGGTTACTCCAGGTAACCCTTCTGTCAGGTAATAATGCAGAGGCACTTCTCTTGTAAGCCATTCGCCTTCGTACTACCGCTGTTCTAATATTTCCGGATATTCCTTGGAGCAAATGCCAGAAACGCAAACAAAATCCGGATGCTTTCCATAAAAAACAAGACGCAAAATATATCCTTGTTCACGGTGCCACTGAGCTCCAGACATTAAGCGAGCTAGAGGCCAAAGCGCATGACTGGGATGAAAGGCCTTTTATTCGCGAAGTGCTCTCACTGAAAAATGCTATCGCTACTTCGATATCAAGGTTATGGCTATCACCTAACCACAAAGGGTGTGGTCCCTGAGTGATGAAAGTATCATTGCACCCCGAACTGATGGTAGAACATGTGATCAAATTGTGGCACGAAAAGCGTAAAATGCTGCCACCCGAAATACGTATAAAGGCGATGAGCACCGGGCCACGCATTGACAATGTAACACTGGGTAAGCAACCTAGCAATACAATTCTGTCACCGTGTAGCTCAGAACGGAGACCATGCCAAAACACACCGGCAGCTGAAGGAGGACAGGGTGGTCACCTTCTTGTTTGCGCGGAGAGCTCTGTACAAAAACCTGAACTGGCCCTAGGGCCTGCGTCATCGGTCCTACAGGAAAACGACCAGCAGCCGACCCCGCAAGGTCGGCATAGTCCCTCACCGGAAACCAGCATTCACAAACACGCTTCTGATCACCGATGCCTTCACCTGCTTGTATACCAATGCCCAAGATCTTCTCAGCAAGCTAAGCGGACTTTATATTCGTCAGGTCTCCACCTCTTGGGACCTAGTTATGGTCACCGAAACATGGCTGATCACGGAGATCACGGATGCTGAAATTGCACTGCCCAGCGTGACTTCCATACGAAACGATCGACCTAGAGAGGAGGGGGAGTACTCCTGTATTATCGATCCGACCTGCATGTTGATGTCATTGCTGAACCAGAAACGAAAGTCGTCGATTCTCTTTGGTGTCGGATGCAGCTAAGACGTGGTGATGTGTGTTTACTAGGGATAGTTTACCGCCCCATAATGTCTAGCGTAGAAATGGATCAATGCCTAGCTTCTGCGATGAAACGAGTTCTGGCACGACCATGCAGTCACGTCCTTCTGGTGGGGGAATTCAACCTGCACGCAATCGAAGTTCCAGCATCACATAGAGAAGGATTCGAGGCGGATTTGAAAATGGTGATCGCCGATGTACCCCTGTACAACCATGTCACCTCTCCCACGCGATTCCGAACGGGTGATACACCCTCTGTTTTGGACATTGTGCTCTCCAGAGAGGAACTAATGGCCCACACCGTGACCATAGATGCACCAATTGGACGTAGCGATCATGCGACGTTGTTCTTCCGTTATATCTGTTACTCGGAGTACATCTCTAGAACAACCTGGAAACGTATGTCATTTCACATCACGATATATTATCCAAGTTCGTTCAAAAACCTGGCTGGTTCTTCTTGGCAGAGAAGCTGCCCGATGTTGCCTGGATGTTGTTCGTCACCAAATTCACTTAGCCAGGGGCAAATGCGTCAGAAAGCAAGGTCTTTCACCCAAACAAGTGAATTTGTTCATGAGGAGCCGTACTAGAAAATGCATGGGCTTAAGTGATTCAGCCTGGCGCGCTTACAAAGTCTGCCCAAGTAACCTGGACTGGGACGCCTACACAACTCAGCAAAACCCCTGCGTCAAGCTGATCCGTGAAGACAAACACCAGCATCAACGGCAGTTAGCGGCGAAATTCAGTAGAAATTCCAAGTTACTGTATGGACACGTCAACAACTCCGCGATTGCAGCTCGGCATCCCGGTTTTACGTGCAACAGATGATCTTGCGCAAACCGCACAAGATGAAGCCAACGTGCTTCGCCAACACTTCATCCATAATTTTCGGAGTGAAACATCATTACATCCGCTTTTGACGCAGCTTCCATCGACACCAGGGTTAAACCACGTATCGTTCACGGCAGCCAATATGATGAAAACGCTAATGTCATTGCGCGTGCACAGGTCACCTGGCGTGGACGACATCAAACCGAAGGCCTTGACGACAGCGGTCATGTACCTTGCCAAACCATTAGCTCGGTTTTTCAACGTTGTCTCAACGAAACGCAGGTTCCCACAAGGTGGAAATATAAGCTGGTCACTCCAATGTTCAAAAGTGGTAATCGTTCGGAGCCCTCGAATTACCGTCCAATCACTCTCCTCCTAGTTTTATCCAAAGTAATGGAACGCATAATTGCAGAGGCGCTCATGGGATATCTTGAGAGTAAAAACATCCAAATGTCACAGCAACACGGATTTCGCCGATATCGATCCTGCACTACAAACTTGCTGCTAGCCCGAGCAAGCTGGACAGAGTCAGCCGATGCCAGAGTGGGAGTGGACGTTGTCTACCTGGACTGCTCGAAAGCGTTCGATCGTTTGGACCACCGCATTTTCCTGCACAAGCTTCGCAGCTATTGAATCAGTGACCCTATACTCGGTTGGATCGGCAACTTCCTCGCTCAACGTCAGCTGAATGTGAGAGTCCGCAGCTCCATTTCCGACTCAATAGACGTCCAGTGTCAGGGATCGGTACTGGGGCCACGTTCATTCCTAACATTAAATAACGAGATTGCCAGTGTACTGCAGTGGCATTTCTTATTATTTGCAGATGCTGTCAAACATACAGCATACAACATCAAAGACAACAACAACAACAACAACAACAACAACAGCAACAACAATAACAATAACAACAGCGGCGACATCAACATCTGTAACTGCAACAGCAGCAGAAACAACAACAACAACAAGGGCGCGACGCGTTGGTCTGCTTTTTATGATGTACATATTGGAAATGGCAGCCAGACCATTCAAACGGCATCATCTCCGCGTAGCACACAAACCAACTTCCACGTTGCGAAAAACACTTCACAAAACAAAAGCAAAACTGCAGGCGCATGAGCGAAGCAATGTGGTATGCAAAATAAGTTGCCGCGATGGCGAAAGGGATTATGTTGGTCAGACGGGAAGAAAACTGGCAACAAGGCTACGAGAACTTAAAAGAGCCTGTGTAAAGCATTATGCATTGTCCCTAGTTTCATTGCATGTAAATGAAGAAGGACGTAGCTTCGATAGGAGCAAAACAGAAGTTTGACTACATCACGGGAATTGCGGATTTTCAGCAATCCAAAACTTCCCGTTTATTCGAATGAACCAAGGGAGAGAGCATCTGAGTAAAGAATTATTTTTGGTAATTCTCATCAAACTCAAATATTACATAATGACGACAAAGTACTAAATGTATCGGATTGGGCTGCATATTGATCAGAATGTTTAATTCCAACAGGAACAAATCAATAAAACACGGGGTGTTTGACGATGGCAAATTATCTACAGGGGAAGCTCACAGCAGAAGTTGTAGGCCACGGTAGTAGTAAAGAACGTACAAACTGCGTTAGTACGCACAATTCTGGCTTGAGGTGGCGGATGTAGATAGCTTCCGCAATAGACAGGAGATTCTTCCGCAATCCATGCGAGAAACAATCAGGAATAGTATAGAGGACTCTGAATTCTATTCCGTCCCTACGCGACCGCACTCTAGATGGTGAGACAAGATGGAGTTGTTACTAGACCTCGCTTCGCCTTTGCAAAATCGCCTCTGGATCCGTTCGCGAATTCTATGAGATAAGCGAATTGTAGTCCTCTACACTATTCCTGATTGTTTCTCGCGCGAATTCCAGAAGCATATCCTGTCTATTGCGGAAGCTATTTACATCCGCCACCTCAAGCCAGAATTGTGCGTACAAATACAGTTTGTACGTCCTTTACTTCTACCGTGGCTACAACCTGTTGTGATCTTCCCCTGTACATACTTTACTACCGCCAAACGCCCCGTGTTTTATTTTGTTGTTCCTATTGAAATTAAACATTCCGATCAATATGAAGTACAGTCCGGCACATATGGTACTTTGTCGTCATCATGTAATGTTTGAGTCTGATGAGAATTAGCGAAAGAATTCAGTACTCGAAACAGAAGTTCTGGCACGGGGTGAAACAAGAAAAGAAATGGAATTTCTGAAAGCGTGATTCTCAATTAAAATCGCAATCAGCATGCGCATCGACAACGATTCAATATACCAAAAACTTCCACAGAAAGAAATAAAGAATAATTTGTCACGCGGTTTAAGGCAGAACAACTCGGACGCCGACATCAGTTGTGGGCAGAGTGAGTAGTGGTCACGGGGTGCAAATCGAGACTGCCACTTTCAAAAGTCACCTGCAGGTCGAGCAGGGAAGGACGATTTATTCAGTAAGATTTCACTCCGCATCTCACTGCACTGGGGATGCCACCTCGTATGGTGTTGAAACGTTTGCGACAAAACCACCAAGCTCGGGGAACAAATGAATAATTGCCCCTCGTCATAGTTGACCATTACGTTGCACACAGCCAAATGCTAGGGACTGCGACGACTCAGCTACTGTAATAAACACCAAACAGCCCCGCATTGTTACCGACGTTATCCTTGCTGTCAAAGCATTACCAAACTGTGTCATACTCAGTACTCTTAAAAACGCTTAGCCATTCGAACGCATACCTATTTTCGCCACTAGGCAACTCATCTAGAACACCGTCGCGCGACTAGCAGCTCAGCACAAATTATCCAAGTGACTCCTAAGTAAAACATGCAAGTCATAATTCTGTACAAATGTATATATGTGCATAAGGTGGGAATTGTTCACAAATCGGTTAAGTGCACTGCTCTCGTGTAGTTCTTCATCACTAACTCCACCATTTGTCTACAGTAATCCGGAGTCAAGTGACTTTTTGCTTCATTCACTGCCTCCTCCAATATTCGCATTCTCCACTCACTCTTGGACATGACGAAGGTTGGGTCACCACTTAGTATCTCGGAGCGCTGCAGTCTCATTGTCTCACTTACCCGCGTTCGGATGATGCTCCACACACCCTCCACTGGATTTAATGTGGGACAATACGGAGAAAGACGCACTTGACGTCCCTCGCGATACCGTTCCTCTTCCAGTACTACGTCCAATGCAGAGTGCAACGAACTGTTGCCACAAATCAGCACACACCCATCGATCAACATGCGAACGTTGTCCTCCAATAGTTCGCGCAGCCAATTCGCACGCACCTCCACGAAAAATCCACCTTGGATAAGTGAAAAGCCGAGCAACCCCGCCTTCGTCAGCGCAACCAAAATATACAGGTTCAAACCACGACCATAGATCTTGCTGTAACCTGAGGAATAATCGCACACGCTGCGACTACCGAACAATTTCAATTGCATCTCGTCTATCCATACCAACTGCCTCCCTTCCGATTCAAACGTCAGCAACTCCAACACGTACGCTTTCCTGCGCTGCTCGTTCTCCAACGTATTCTCACACTCCTCACTTCCCAACTGCTTCTTCACTGTTATCACTCTTCCATCGACACTACGCGCCACAGTGCTAGTATCCACTTTCAAGTCGAAAACATCTTTCAAACGGGATCGAATTCCCTCCAATGTGATCGTCGGCTGTTCAGCTACCCATTCCATAATACTATCCACTTGCAGATCTGTTAAAGCCTTGCGACGCCCCCCACCGTGCTTCCCTTTCGGTTTCTTTAGGTACTTGTTCTGTATCCAGCTTCGACATGTTTTGATGTTCACGTTCAAAATGAGTGCAGTGGTCTTCCAATCTGCCTTAGCATCGAACGCCTCCAGTATCGCATTCTTTACCTCTGCTGGATGGTAGATACGCGCGCTCCCGGTTCGTGTCATAGTCGTATGATGCACGGTCGTCTACCGCCACAACTCACGTTGTCTTAATGCAGGCAGCGCCGATCCAATCGATGACTTTCATGTGCATTGTCGTATTCGCGAATGGAACGCGCAGCGCGTCGTGTGCGCGCAAACGGCCGTGCGCTCGTCATTGGCTACAATGTGTTTGTGGCATTGTATCTCGGTGTAGGTTTAAGTGTGTGTATGCCACACGCGGTCACCAATTGGCAGTTGCGCCGAGGATTATGCGAATTGTAATGTGAGTTGTGCTATGACCATGGGGCTTATGTTGCTTGCCTGAAGCGAACTGTAGTTAATTTCGAAATGATTTCGCATTTGCAGTATTTCCTTAAATTATATTTTCTGACGTCTTGAAACTATAGCGGATTCGTTCGTAACCAATTTATTTTATACGCCCACCTAGTGAAAAGTTGGCCACCGTATCTGTATGCATTATTCGATTTATTTTATTTCATCTTGTCGTTCTAAGTTGGTGGCTATTGCTTGATATCCCTGGTGTGACTGCGATTGATGTGCATGTTGACAAGGTGTCTAGCGGTCTATTACCCACTACCTCGTCCATACTGGCTCCAGGAGACAGTTGGTCTTTTCTGGAAGTTTTGAGATGAAGCAATAGCACGACGGTACAATGGTATAATACGGATAAAAATGCCGAGATTTGACAAGTCCCGTGGGATGGTTTGTGTAAATTAAATAAAATCGAAAAAGTAGTTGCACTAAAGTGAAACGCGCATATGTGGACTCATCATATTACCCACGTCAGCACACTTGTATATCCGTCTACCCAGATTTCGGGGGTATTAGTGAACACAATGTTTGTCTGTGCCTTGCCCTCAAAAAATGAACAGAAATCAAGTCAATTATTGCAGATAATAAAATGTATTCTCGAGTCGTTTTTAAACACACATGTAGCGTGGGCTCAGAAATGACAGCGGTCGATATAGCGTTCCACTAAGGAATATTCGAAGAGAATGATAACTCCGGTGCAATTGCAGCCGAGTGTATTGGGTGCCTAGTTTCAGCTGGTGACCTCACAATCCTTGTTGCAGTTAACTTTCAGATGACTGCAAGCGTGACCAGGCTTTACCAATGCACATTACCACCAACAGACTGGGTACAATAAAAGTCTATAACCGAATGATCCGCATGGCGAACCGGGCGGAGGTTTCATCGCCCATATTACATGCATTAAATTGGCCTAAAAGGAAGAACTGATAAACAGGTGATGGTTAATATGCTACTATGCTACACCGGCACGCGGTCAGGTATAGCACGGAACTGCGGGCTAAAGCTTTCGAGGGAATAGCCTGCATTAAAGCAGGTCCATTGGGGACGGTTCCATGAGTGGCCGTATTACTTTACACGAACATTTCGTTAACTCCGCACCTGTTATTGTTTCTGACCTTTTAATTTCTTTAATACCTTAAACCTGCCAATTAGTTCAATACCCGTTTTGAATCCATTGTATAAAGCTCGAACAATTGTTAACTTTGTGTAATCCTCTTGTACACATTGATCAGACTACCTAGTTAGACTGCACCTCGCCTCGCCGAGGAATACAACACATATTTAGTAATGTATGTATGTATTTACTATCTGTAACGGCAAAATGAGGTCGTTCCGTAGACGACGACAGATGACGCTGTACACAACTAGGGCTTTCATTCATACATGGTATAGCAGATGGAACAAATCCGCCACATTTGTGTTGTCATTCGCTGTTCGGTACCCAGTACAATAAGATCGCAGTTTAGTCAATGTTACCAAATCTGTATCGCATATTCTAAATGAGGCGATTTCACATGTATTGAGCATTTGGGGAAGATGGAGTAATCAAACCTCCCGAAATTCTACCGTCAACATGTTGGTTCGTGAATTTGTACGCCTACAATCACAGCGCCGAACAGCCGGAGTCGTTTCTCTTCTCCCGTTTCCTGTGTGATGGTCTTCAATATATGAGCCCCAAGTTTTTATGCATTATTAGGCTAGTTGCGTACATGTATAGTTTAGCGCTTGTTCGCGTTAAACAGAAGTATATTTGCCTTTGACCATTCAATACTCGGTCCAAGTCTAGTTGCAACATATCGTTCGTTCACATTCATTTCCGCTGGACCAAGCGTTGCTCGCGGATCTCAGTGGCATAGTGCTTATGGCGTCAACCATGAGACAATAGGCTCTGAGTTCCAGCCCAACTCAGGCTATCTCCAACTGATGAGTCCCAACCAGGACGAAACCGTGGTCTTGGGGTGCCCGTGTTGGGATGAACAGCACTAGAATGTTTCCATATCGTGGTCTTCCTGACAACCGATCGGGTACCACATCTTGTTGTAATTGGCAAATGACAGGTAATTTTATTCGGGGACGCGTGTGAGGCTTTTACTGAAGAACTAAAATAAGCGCAGCCCCAAAACTGACCCTTGTGTGACTCCGCATTCCATAACAATAGAATCAGAATAGGAGCCCGGAACTAGAACCAAAAGCCGCATCGGTAGGCGGAAATTTCTGATCCATCCAAGGAGAGAGTTTCCAATTCCGTACGTTTGCGGCTTTTGGAGAAGGATGCTCCCATGCATGCACCTGCATAGTGATCGTGAACACAGGGGAGCACATGTTTGGTTAACAATGACCTTGCCTTAACTTCCTTACTCCATCGGCTTTTCTTTCGGCATTTATAGCCAATGTAACGTAGTAGGATTTCACTGAACGGTTCCACACTACGTCTGCGCGTTCCACTTTCTTCAGCATGCTAAGGGCCATCCTTGTCACACCTGAACCTCAGAATTTGGCTGAACTTCGATCATTTTTATGATGAGTTCTCATTGCCACCACTTCTTGCCTAACGCCACAACAATATTTGCGCATTTCTATTAAAGGTTACGCAAGCGGAAATATTGGATTTGGTCTCCATTTCAAAGGAGGACCACCACAGATATAAAACATCGCTCAGCGTCTCCCCTATCTGGTGCAATATCAAATAACCTGTCCTCTAATGCTTCGCTGGATTTATGACGTATCCCTTCACCCAAACGCTTTGTATATCGCCCCCTTCATCAGGCTGAGAGGCATTACTCCACACTGAACAGAGAGGTCTTAGTGATCATTATCGTAATCAGGCATTTTCGCTAGTAGTCTTGGGAAGAGAGATCGATATAAACCCTGATCATAAACCACTTCTTTCCCGCTCTGAATCGGCTAAAGAGATGAAGGTTTGCAATATGCTCTTGCAGATCGGTTTTGAATTGTTCCCTGGGGATGCCCGAACTACTAGATCGTGAGCACTGAAGCCGCCTGAGATGATAAAATGGTGCCATCGTCGTCGCAGGATTATCTTTGAGGCTAACAACAGATGGGAGTCCACCTCTGTCGTAGACATTCGCAATGATAAACAATTGCCACAATGCGAGTGCCGTTGCATCTCAGTTGCATACTTCGTCAGTGATAGTCTATGACCACCAGTTCCTGGTCGTCCTTAAGTGAGCAATGCAAGTTCCTGCGGTTATATAAAATTACCTCGGCCCAGTTACTTTGGCGATCGTTTCGAAGAATGGACAAAGCAGGTATCGCGTATTCGGCGTCTGTAATCTCTGTGTGCAAGCAAATTTCCGTTACGAATATGAAGTCCCTGATGTTTGCTGCTTAACCTAGCCACAGTAAAGCTCGCTTCTTTAGGAGAACTTGTGCTTTGGTGTACATACAGGAAATTTTCTCTGTCGTTAGCAGTAAGCCGATGACCTGTGTTTTGGGTGTAACGTTGTGTCGACCGGGGAAATTCGGCCAATAATCTTATTTTGGAGGCGCAGTGAGAAACTCATTTTGTAAGAAGGCGGAAGTTAACGACTACTCGGGAACCGGAAAGATAACAAATCCGGATAGTGCGGAATTACCAAATAGCGCACTAGATGAGACGATACGAGATAGTGCGAGCCATGCGGATCGAGCCGAGAGCTCATCAACCACGACGTCCGGTCAAGAACCTGGGCCCAGAACACCGGAGGGTGGAATTTGTTGAGAACGCAGTGAAGCAGACCAATACGCTGCTAACAGGCATTCGAATTCAATGTGCCAGCAAGGTGTGGAATACCACAAAGTGTTATCACGGATCAAGCGCCCTGCTTCGAGTTGAAAGCGTTTAAGGTGTCTTTGGACAAGGGGCGGCACACCTCACCGTACGACCCGCTGGTCAACGGAATGACAGAACGGTTCAATCGGACTATGAACACGTAGATAGACCACACGAAGTTGGCATGCGAGGAAGCGTTGCCTGAAGTTGTGCTTGTCCATCGGACCAGCATGCAGTGGATCACCAAGTTTCTGCCGTTCACATTACATTTTGTCAGCAAATCACTCGATAGGTGCTTAGCGAAACATCGTGGGGGATACATCCTGCACTGCAGCACGACCGACTCCGGGTGACAGCTTGAGGAGGAACCAAAGCTTGACAAGCAGGCAATAAGAGGAATTACGACGCCAGGCATTGGGCACACAAGCGGACGCCTTTGAGGATAGGAGAACAACTGAAGGTATGGCTCAACAATCCGCCAGATGATAACTAGCCTGGTGCGGGCAAGTTCAGGGAACGCTGAAAACGCCCCTACACCATACTCGACCGGAAAGGGGCAAACATCCAAATGGACACTGGAGTAGTGAACTGTTGGGTGAATGCCACACTTCTACCACCATGGTAGAAGAGAGAAAAATGACATCGAATAGGGGCAAGTGTAGGGAGGCAGAAGCCAAACGACAACTAAAGAACTGGAAAGACAACAACTCGAGCTAGTAGGGAATTACCAACGAGCGCAATGGATGAGAGGAGGGAAGCAGTGCGAGTCTTGCGGCTCGAGCCGAGAATGCATTAACAACGAGGTCTGGTAGCGTACTTGGATCCCGAACAGCGGAGGATGAATTTGTCGAGAACGCAGTGAAGCGGACCAATATACCGCTGGCGAAGCTCACGGGACTGAACGCGAACCAAGTGGTGC